AGGTTCACTATTTGCCCATAGCTGGGACCCTAACAGGTGCTACCACTCTGGGTCAGGCTGGACCTGGGAACAACCACAATTAAGAGGAGGTTCACTATTTGCCCATAGCTGGAACCAAAATAAGTGTTAATACTCCTCGTCAGGGTGGACTTTGAGACAACAGCAATTAAGAATTCGTTCCTTATCGGTGGTAGTTTATCGTCATACTAAAGACTATTATGTTTATTGAGTGCAAATATTAAGAGGAGAATACTGTGGAGTGTGCAGGATTACTGATTGAACTTGCTGTCAGTTGATAGTGTTGTGAATATGGATTATCTCCTCTTAGATAATCCAAGCTATAAAAGCTGTATACTTCCGCTGTCAAGTCAGATGAGAAGGAGTATTCTAACCCGAAGGTTTATACGGGTTCAAATGGGCTGTTTTTTGGCCGAGCCCAATGGCTCGGGAATGCCCACGTTAAAAAGGCCTTGTGCCACATGACACCCTCGTGGGGGGGTGACTCAATATCGATAAGTAGTAGTATTGAGTCAGTAGTTCACTTTTGAACAGACTGCTCGGTTTGAACTCTCTTCCTACGGGCGGGGAGGAACCCGAAGGAGGCTACGCCGAAGGGCGGAGTCTCCTTCGGGGGGTAAATTGGCCCTGAACCCGTTTATACGGGTTCAAATGGGTTGTTTTTTGGTCGAGCCCAATGGCTCGGGAATGCCCACGTTAAAAAGGCCTTGTGCCACATGACACCCTCGTGGGGGGTGACTCAATATCGATGAGTAGTAGTATTGAGTCAGTAGTTCACTTTTTGAACAGACTGCTCGGTTTGAACTCTCTTCCTACAGGGAGGGGAGGAACCTGAAGGAGGCTACGCCGAAGGCGGAGTCTCCTTCGGGAGGTAAATTGGCCCTGAACCTGTTTATACGGGTTCAAATGGTTGTTTTTTGCCCGAGCCCAATGGCTCGGGAATGCCCACGTTAAAAAAGGGCTTGTGCCACATGACACCCTCGTGGGGGGGGGGTGACTCAATATCGATGAGTAGTAGTATTCTTAATTGAATAAACGATTACTAGACAGAATCTCTTGTCCTGTTTTCATTACAGATATCCAGTGAAAATCGTGATATACGTCTTTTCTATTGTATATCCTTTTTAGGACGTTGGTGATTATGTTTCTCCACAACTTCCTGTGTTTTGGTGCACTTCGTATTACATGTGTGAAAACGCAAAGACTGAAAAATATTAATATTTATGATAATTAGTCGAGGAATAGTTTTTGTTAATGACTAACCGGATATGTCGATTTATATTATATATATATATATATATATATATATATATATATATATATATATATATATATATATATTTGTATTTGAGCAGCAATCCCATTTTTATACTAGTTTCATTAAAAACGACTGACAACGTACTGTGGTTGAGTTTTTATTTAATTTTTTTGCGTTTTATATTTTTACATCATTTATGCCCAGAAAAGGAAAAATTATAAGAATACAAGAAAACATTTAACTGCAGTACCTTGTCAGTCGTTTTAACGAAACTTATATATATATATATATATATATATATATATATATATATATATATATATATATATATATATATATATATATATATATATATATATATATATATATATATATATATTTGTTTAGTGATAATTCATCATGTGTTAGACCTAGAAATCTCAACAGAATGCAGAAAAGCACTAGACGGCCGTTTCGTCCTATTTTTCAGTACGTATCCAGTAACGAGAATCGAACCCGGGTTCAATTCTCGGTAGTGGATACTGAGTTTTCTAGGTCTAGACATGATAAATTATTATGAAAAATTATTCAAATTGCTCAAATTTGTATTCAGTTATATATGTGTGTGTGTGTGTACACACACACACACACACACACACACAAAAGGTTTTATCCAAGCTTTGTGAGTGAAAATGTCAATCCAGGCCCTGTGAGTGAACAAAAGCATACAAAAGGGTTGATCCAGGCCTTGTAAGTGAAATTGTGTGAATGCAACAGATTGCAGAACTATTTGGGAGCCAGCAATTGTTCTGGTAGCACAAAGTCACAAGTCATCGTGAACGAGAATTTCAGCGAACTCGTCTTGTTCAGACTAATGTTTGCACCAGATAACACGCACGCAAATGTCTCTGCGCGTTTTCTTTCTTTCATTTTAATTAATATTTCATTGTTAATGCCATATTTCAAGATTTCCTTATTATCTTTCACCCTCATTATTTCTCTCTTTTATTTCTCTTTTATTTTTCTTTTATCTCCCTTTTATTTCCCTTTTATTTTCTCCCTGACATCTTTTGAAGAAAAACTCGGTTAACAAATGTCCATCATTGCCGGACAGTATAAAAATTATCGAAGCAATTTAAATGGACACACATTAAATTATTGCTTTATTATTGGATATTTTTAGCATATTTCAACGGACTTAGAATACATTTGATGAGAGAATTTATATCCTAATGGCAATTCAAA